AGCAACATGAAAGTACTTAGCTGTGGTCACAGGGCAGTTACTGTCAGAGCCGGGGTTGACTCCAAGATGAGCTGGCTGCCTGGCAGACACAGCTGGCCCTCTGCTGAGCCTGCAAGATCCTCAGTCCCTTCTTTCCACCCCCACCCCACTAGCAAGCTCCCTTTCTGAGCACCTGCACTTCTCTCTGCTAATCAGGACTGGGGGTGGGGGGGTTAGGCGCATCTACAGAAAGCCCCTGTTAGAATGAAAATGTTACTGAAAAGCAAAGCACACTGGACCACGCTCAGGATTATCAAAATTAGTGTGTGTGTGAGAGATTTGAAGGGCACAGGTGCCCAGATGCCACATTAGAGTTCAATTCCTTCGTCTCTGTCCACTGAATGAAAGCGGAGGGCTGAAAGAATGGGACGCCAGAAGGGCGAGACTTAACTAGAAAAATAAGGATGGAGGTTTGGAATCAGGGAGGGCAGGCCTGATCGGTCATTTGGGGGGATCTCCCACAGGTGTCCTGCAGGCAGCACAGAGATGCAGCATGGTGTGATGGGAAGAGGATTCTGGAGATGTGGGTTTTAGCTCAGGGTGGTCCCCTGCGTTGCTGTATGTCTCCGGGCTGGTTACTTCCCCCCAACCCTGACTTCCCTTTCCTCCCTGTAAAAAGAGACAGAATACCCTTGCACGAGATGTTTATACCTTGGCCCAAGACCCTGCAGCCCCACGGTAAAGAAGGCTCCCTTTACCTTGTGTTAGTTGCTGAGAAACCAGAGAGAGGGGTTCCACCTTTCCATGCTTCCCACTCCAGCTGGGGCCAAATCATGTGGGTTGCAGAGGACACCACGTGGATGAGTCCTTAAAGACCCCTCCATGGGGGTCCCATGTTCTGTGCCCAGGATCAGGTGCTCAGAGGAGGACTCTGAGCTGACATCTGTTTCTCCCATCAGCACAGTTAGCTTGCCCCTATTCCTGGCAAATGACAGCAACCTGAAGCAAAGCAATTAGGGTGAAAATGAGACCCAGCTGCTTGGGGCCAAAGGAAAATAAATGGACAGCCCTGTGCGTATTCCAGTATTCCACTGCCGAGGAGCGATTCCTCACAGGATGATTAGCACTTCCAACTCGTCTCCTCCCCTCTACTGAAGGCAGAGAAGTGAAGGCAGAGCTGCTGTTGTTCTCAGATCCCACTCTCCCCTGGAAGTACAGTGAACCCCACAGCGCATCACCTCCCCATGAAAGCCTCCCCTGGTCGCCTGCC